CTGATGGCAAGTCTGTTGGGATTTCGCGGTCACATGACTTCCGCGTTAACCCCTCGTTTACGCAATTTATATTTATTTTTCAAGAATTTTTCAACGGAATCGCAACAGACTGCAAGCAAGTCTACGGTTTGTACTATATTGTAAAGTACCAGTATATGCATGAATGGATTGACCTGTGTTTGTTTGTGTGTGTGTGCATCCTGGAATAATTACATTACAGACACCTACATCTTGCATCTTGGGACACATATGCATGTCCATTAATTTCACAGTCCAGTGCTAAAAATGTGCTAGAAATTTATCAAAATCACCATTTCTGAAATCAGATTTTGCTCATGTATTAACGTGTATGAACATGCATTGAACATTATGGGACCCTGATACATGTCATTTTATTTTTCCGAATGTTTCAATTAATGCAGTCCTGGAGCCGTATCTCAGACATGCTCTTATTGTTCATGTTGATATTTCTTAAATTTGATAACTCGCAGCGACTATGAAATACAATTACTTGTTTTTTCTCAAATGCATATATCTCTCCACTATGGTGACCCAACTTTATTTTTGAGATCTCTACAAATTCAGTCCTGTTAGATGGCACACTGTTGCTCAGGCATCACTTAATATTTGTCTATGATTTACTATAGAGTGTGTCGATGATTGGCTGTTATGAGTGTGGATTGGCTTAAATAAATCAACCAATCATGATTTTATCAAATAAATGCATCCAGGTGTATCAAAATTATGTCTGAATATCAGGGGATATGACTTAACTTGTGAATCTTACAGATTTGACATTATATGATTCATAAATACAAATAATATTTTTCACCCTTAAATCTGCAGACATGGTGGTGGACAAGGTGGATCTAATATTCGCAAAATGGCATATTTTGAATCTTCAATTGAGCCGTCATTGTCTGGGAATAAAGTAAGCAAAGTGTGGTCATATAATTCAAACATTAATACTGTATTTGAAGCATAACTTGCGTAGAAGTTCACATCATTAAAAAATTTTTGATCATAAACCCACATGAGTGTTTGCACTACTCATAGAGCTAATACTGTACTCTGAATAAAAGAAAACACATAGTATTTCAAGATTTCATTGGTACGCTCCAAATAAAAAATTCTATCTATCTATCTGGTATAGTTTATGTTTACTTAGTAATGAATATGGAGGGAAGATTTATGTGATTGTTAAAATAAAATTAAATCACACTTGATATAAATCATAATCATATAATATTCATATAGCTCATTAATATTCTTGACCGACCGACACTCTCGTTGGGCTGGTGAGATGCCTGATAATGTTTGCATTTATTCTGTTGTATTTCTAAAGCATAATTTGTAAATATTGCTAAAATTATTGCCATTGGTCTTCAGTATTGACCAATATTGTTGAGACATTTGTCTTTGCGTCATCTGTGTAGTGCTGACTTACAAAAACTAGGATTCATATCAGCCACAAAATATTAAGACTATTATCAAGCTGTTGTAATTTTTATTTGTTTGTAGACTAGGGATAAAACAAAAGTTGTGACTTACAGATGTCCTGGAAATACTGCAGTTCAAGTAAGTCTATAATAGTCACTGTGTTTTGTCAATAATTCTATAATAAATTCTTGTACATTGACTGATTACTTTCTGCAAGTCGGTTAAAGACGAAATGAAAGTGACACTGTTGAATTTTAGTATAGATTTCATGCAGCAACTAAACGCTTCATAGTACTTATATCCTAGTGACCATTTAGTTTAAATTATACCGGTATTGGTTATTAATGGTGTGGCAAAATATGATAATACATCCATCCTGAGTATTACTTATATTTGAATATTTTTTTTCTTAGATTCAATTGTGTGGATTCTTTTTAAGTTTGCCATCACCTACCATTCAATGTTCCAACACTAATTTAGAAAAATACATTTATTTTTGACGACTAGGTCTATAACTATGAAAAGAAAACTGCTCGAGTGGTATTTGGACCCAATATGGTGCTTCTTGGACCTGATGAGAATTTCAACATACTGAGTCTTAGTGGTGAGAAAATTTCTTTCTCAACATTTATTTAATTTTAATTTTAGATATGCTTTGCAGGCTCATTCATTCTGTAATAACCAAAACATTTGCTGGGAGAAGTAAGTACTTATATCAGTCAGTGACTTTCAGTTCAATGTTACAGTGGTATTTTAAATACTTTTAATATCTGACAAGTTTGGAATAGTATAATTTTGCCACAAATTGGTTTTGGTCAACATTAATGAGAAAACAATAGGTTTTGCAAAGTACCACCTTGCAGTGCCCATTTTAAATTTGTTACACACAGTATATCTCAAGTTTTATACCATGAAAACAAAGGCTCTTTAAAAGTAGACACTAGAGGGCAGAGTATATGATTATTCTCTATGCTCAGTAAAGCAATAAACATGATAGGCTTATGTTAGGCAAAAGAAGGATTTGTTTCTGCATAGACCCTCCAGTAGAGTCTCTATGGTTTTTGGTCATGAGATGGGTTGAAAAAGCTTTGTGATGTAACCTTTTTTAATTTTTTGTGTGGTTTTCATTTTTGAAATATTTAGAGGAAATTATACGCATGGCCTTGAATGATTCTCATCAGAAAAATAACAATGTTCTGGATATAACAGTCGAGATGTGATTTCTGTACTCAACAGCTGGAAAACCTAAGAAAGAGAATGCACTAAAGACAATATGTTTGATGCTAGGACCTGATTTCATGAGTGATAGTATTGAGGTGAGCTCTCAACATGCCATTACTACATGAGATTAATTCTCCTCTTAATCATTCTTGATCACGATTGGTTCATATACTAAGCCAAAATTACTTACTTGTGTCATGCCAAATGAGTAAACACATGGTGAGATATAACATGGCATATATCACACTGCGACTGGACCGAGTTTACAGTTTCTCTATATTGGTATATTTATGATACTAGCCTGCATATACTGTAAAAGGGTGAATTATTCACCGAGTTTTAATTTTGCTCATTTCAATGACTGGAAAATGTGCTAAATTAAAACCCAGTGAATATGTAAAATTGAGCATAGAACACATTATCTAAATGATAAAACCGTGAATTTAAAACCCAATGAATATGCCTGAATTGCTAAATCAGTGAAATTTAAACCCAGTGAAAATTAGTCGTAGCTGGAAAAAATTAATTCCTGGTCAACTAAATATACCATGAGCATTGTGTTAATTTGGTACAAAAAATGGTTATTTAATATTATATTTTGGTGGGTGTTATTTATTATTGATGACATGATTACAATACTTAAAGAAAGGGGATATTACATGATAACATTAAAGATGTGAATCATAAAAATAAATTGCGTATGCCTACAGGAAATTACACAATTACCGAAAATATATATCTACCTTCATAAACCCTAATCATAGAGCTGCAAGACATAGACAAATTACTTATATCAAATACACATTGAAAATGGCAAATATAATGACATTAATATTGAAAACAGAATCTGTCTGGTCTGTGATCAACAGGAGATGAACAAAAAAAAATATTTTTTTCTCAATTGCAACCTGTAAATAATACAGATGTGAAAACCTGATTAAATATATTAATTATACAAAAATACATTTCATAATGGATGATGTCTAGTTTCTCGGTCAAAAAAAACTCATTTGAGACTGAGACAAGACAAAATACTAATGTATCTGCTTTAACCAAACAATGAACACTCATGTGAAAACATTTCTACCACTCTTTTTATTTTCACTTTTGAATTTATTTCTTGTTCTTTGTGTTATATTGATTGTGTTTTTTTTCCAACATTCTATTGCTTTGTTTTTTGTTTGTTTATACTTTATTATTATTACAAGACACTTCGCGATGAGCATCTTTTGCAGTCAGTAATATTTACGAACATTTTTGTTCACTATTGGCGATCCGTTCTGCTAGGATTGCCCTTAAAATCAATTTTGTGCTTCTGAGTGTGTGGTTTCCGGTGTTTTCAGTATTAATTCTTCTGTGATTGTTTTGGCTTGGCCTATTTCCCTCAAACTTGACAGGCAGGTCACATCATCACCCAAGTTATTAGGTAAAATCTGAAGAAAAAAAATTGGCCTATCGTTGCCATAGTAACAGCCAAAAAACTCGATAGCTTCGTGCTAAATGAATCTCCTCCTACAAATTTAGGATAAAACTCTTCAGACATAGCTCATTCTACTCAGCTTGAGTGTGGGCACTAAGTTACTATTTGAATTTTTGATATCTGTTTTTATTACCGACAAATTTTACTCTTCTGTGATTTTTATGGCTGGGCTGTTTGGTTCAAACTTGGCGGGCAAGTCACACCTTCACTCTAGTTTAAATAGGTTGTAAAATCTGAAAACAAATTCTCGCTCACCGCTGCCATAGCAACAGCCAAAAACTGATTTTTGAATACTTTCGCCCCAAATTTATTACCGGTACCTCCTACTAGTCGTTATATTATTATAAATAGCAGTGTTTATATGATCATGTTTTTGTTTTTTTATTTTGGCTACGTTGCGCACTGGTAAGAGATCTCCTGCACCAACATTGTTACACTCTATCAACGTAATCCCAACGCAACTTTGAACTATGAAAGAACTGTAATTGCTGCCTTCAATCATGGAGCTTTTTGCCTCCATGTTTCAATTTAGAAAATACTATCGCAAAACGGTTGGAAATAATAAATTTAACAGCAGAATACGTCCTAGCAATAAAATAAAGTGACTTCTATTTAGGACTGACGTTTTTTTGTGAACCTTGTATACGGGGCCCTGTTTTAGTTATAAACCGATGTTAGCTGCACGTTCATGTCCTACCATATGGCAACAGCCGAAAACATGATACTTGTTTTTGAGCGGAGCGGATGCCAACCAGCCTACCGGCTTGTTTTATAAACTGGCTTGGTAATTCCCACCACCAATAGTAGACCATGTCACAGCATTTCAAGTACTTTTCCAAAAAATCCAAAATCACTCGATAATTTTGTTTACTTTACATTTGTACTATGATTACATTTTAAGTTTTGATAATTTTATGGATACATGTACATATACAAAATACGACCAAGTGAACGTCAGAATATCAAAAAAAACAGAAACCTAAAAATCAGTTGCCCATGCCAAGGGAGCCGCAGAACCAAAACAATCTGTCAGCCGTCGCCGTCCACAGCAGCGATATGATTTTACACATCGAAATTGAGAATCGCAGGTGTAGACAATATGCATAGAAATGAACACTAAATACATCTATCCCAGCCAGCAATCGAATCATCAATCTTCATGAGTGACGTAACTGTCATTTCCATCTATTTGCTTCTATTCCCACTATCCTAAAATGCTCAAGTGAATGTTGTCAAATTCGCGAGTGTGCGTATTTTCGTACGGTGGCGTAAATATTGCTACAATCAAAGACGCGCTGAACAGAAAGTCAATTCTGGGCTAGTACCATTGTCAAATTCTGGGGAGTAGAGGACTATTTATATGGGAGACATTACAATAAGGAACTAATAAAATTGTTTGATTTGCATATCAAAGTCCTTTATTGGAACAGAGCATGTTCTATATTTACCAAAAAACAAAGTTATTATGTTTCTAGACACACAACAGACTCGAAACAATAGAAACCGTCTGATCCGAGCGACCTGCGTTCTTGAAAATCGAGTCTTATCGCCCTTGCATTTCCGAGCAAAAAAACGTTGAGGCCAAAAACCACCGATTTTTGCCCAATCTTCTATGAATTTTTCATGATTCAGCTAATTCAGTCCAGCGGTTAGATAGAGTATTTATTAGAGACGCCCAGAGAACCAAAATTTGGGACGCGAATCCCTCCGGCGACGAAAAATCTGCGAAAATAGCCAAGGGGGTGAGGGACTGCATTTCAAAAACATATTTTATATATAGGGTATATAATTACCATCTATGCATATACTTATTT